GAGTAATTTGAGAACTTTATAATCAAATGTGTGGAGCATCACTATGCTCATATAACATCACTATATATGTGTGGCTAAGATATGCACCATATCATATGTTTAAAACACTAAAACAGTGTTTTTACACTGTATTAGTGTTTTGGAGATAGTGTATTTTACACTATCTCCATTAAGCATGCCTACCTGACATGCACTGAACAAAACTTTGACATTTTTCTTTCTTCAAATTTGTTCAATTTTATTATTTTATTTTTTCATATCTTTTTAAGAAAATGGAGCAGCCAACTTGACATACACTTAGTGATCCTTTGTGACATTTGTCTTGTTTCAAATTCTTTAAATTTTTTTCGAAAATGGAGCAGCCTACCTGACAACCATTGAACGAACCTTTATGACATTTTTTTTTTTAAGTTCTTATATTTATTTTTTTTTTTAGAAAATGTAGCAGCCTACCTGATATTCACTGAACGAACATTTTTGACATTTGTTCTTTTTTCAAATGTTTTCATTTTTTTTCTAATTTTGTCTAAAAAACAAAAATCAATGCTTTGCAACATTACAGCAGTCACCCCTTTACATCCCAGCATCATTAGCATCTTTAAAAAAAAAAATAATTATTTGCATTGTTGTAGGTGTCCAAGAATTTGCGAGAACTAGCGGGAACGCTAGGAAGCACCATGTGCTTTTCTCGTTAATCAAGCGAAAGCTCGTCGATAGAGACAAATTTTCGCCGAGTGGCGCACTCGTTATTCGAAATGCTCGTAGATTGAGGCGCTCGTCACTCGAGGTTCCATTGTAATTGGTTATCAGGGTTCAGCCTAGTCTCAATTTGTTTACATTACGTTGTAACAGCACGCATTGAATATATTGTGTTTTGTTCATAATTATGATAACTTGTGTGAAAACAACCTTATAGTATCACACAATCGCAATCGACTTGATAATGGTCCAGGACAGACCGAAACGTCGTCTCCTCTTCAATTTTTAGTGTGTGGTTTGGTCAACATTTTTCAGCCACGGTATTGTGACTTTTCGTCTGCATATATTTTCAAAGCTATACATAATGAACACCACCATTGACACATCTGTACAACTTGTTAGAATTAAAAAGTATATAAATAATGTAAGTAAGAATGAAAATAAATTGACAAAGTTATTCCCGTGTCGCACCTCGCCTCATTTCTTCCAAAAAAAACGCAACTTCTCCAGGTTAATACAACAAAGCGGCAAGAGATAGAGACTTCACTTTTGATTTTTGTGCTTCCTGGGTGCTAATTAACAATGTAAAAAAAAAATTTAGAACATTTTTTTGTGCATGCCATTTGAGTGTCATATTTAACATGTGTACAGTGCATGGGTTAAGAATGTCTGTATATACAGCTAATGAAAAATTTCACTTCGATTCCCCACCAGCTACCTTGACAAGTACACCTTTGTTACCCGAGCAGTCTCCGTCACTCGCCACCACCACCACCTCCACTCCGACCATCTCTCCATCTTTCACTGCCACCTTTAACTCCTCTTAACACACTACTACCACCACCTCCAGTTGTACTCAGTGTGCCAGCCTGTCTATTACACCAGCCCGTGCTCATTACACCAGCCCGTGGTCATTACAGCAGCCTGTGCTCATTATACCAGCTCATGCTCATTACACCAGCCTGTACTCACTACACTAGCCTGTGCTCATTACACCAGCCTGTACTCTTCACACCAGCCTGTGCTCATTACACCATTACAGACAGAAAAAGCATAGAACAAGTATAGGGGTATGGGTACAGAGGTATGTAGGGAGGCACTAAAGAGGGCCAGGAATTGAGTACACAAGAATCAGGAAGGCAGCAGAGCATCACTTTGAGAATGATATTGTTGCAAAATTATAGAGTCTACCTTAGGTGTTGCACAGCCAAATACAGAGGGCAACAATGGGCTGATACCATGCGATTAGACTGTGGAGGGCAGGAAGGAAAACTCTTGGAGGATGACAAAGAAGTGTTTGAAGAACTGAAAAAGATGTTCCAGGAGGTTTTGAGACTAGAGCCAGATTGGTGTCCAAGTAGAGGTGACAATGGAACACCAGAAACATCATTAGACCAAATTGTTAATACAGTGTAAACTAATATAAAGAGGTAAAAAGATACCTGGAGGAACTGGATGTAATGAAAACAGTAAGACCAGACCTAATATCACCATGGGTATTAAAGGAAGCTGCAGGAATCTTGTTACCCATTAATGATAGTGTTCAGCTTTACACTAGAGATGGGAGAGCTACTCGAAATCTGGAAAAAGGGAAATGTACCTCCAATATTCAAGAAAGGGGGACAAACATGAGGCACTAAACTATAGACCAGTGTCATTAACATGCATTCCACGCAAGATTCTAGAAAAAAGTAATCAAGAAAAGGATTGTAGAACATTTGGGAGAGGATAAATTTTTATAACAGGCACATCACAGCTTCAGAGAGAGAAAAGCATGCTTAGTAAACTTGATTGAATTCTAAGGCAGGGTCACCAAAAGAAGACAAGAAAAGGATGGGTAGACTGCATCACCTTAGACTCCCAAAATGTTTTTGATATAGTTCCTCACAAAAGACTAATGCACAAGATGGAGACAAGCAGGGATAACAGGAAAGTCACTGGACTGGGTATAGGATTAGTTAAGACAGGACACAAAGGGTCATAGTCAGAGGATATGTCAGGCTGAAGAGCAGAGAATGTGGTGTTCCACAGGGCTCTGTCCTAGGACCATTGCTGTTTTTAATATATGTAAATGACCTCAGAGAGGGAGTGAGTTCATACATGTCAATGTTTGCAGATGATGCAAAGATAATGAGGAGAATAAGAAATACAGTGGACTGTACAGTGCTGCAAGGAGACCTTAAACTTCAGGAGTAGTCAAATAAATGGCTGCTGAAATTAAGTCCACATTAGTGCAAAGTAATAAAAATGGGTAAGGGATATAGGAGATCTGTATTTAACTACACCACAAGGGGGATGTCAATTACAAGAAACAAGTGAAATAGAACTAAGAGTGAACATAATCCCAACACTGACACCAGAAGCTCGTGTGAACAGAATGACATTAACAGCAAGTGGGGAAACTAGCAAAAATAAAGGCATCATTTATGAATCTAAACAAGGAGGCTTTCAAGTCCATACACACTGCCTATGTGAGACCATTACTTGAGTATGCAGCTCCAGCATGGAATGCACACTTTGTGAAGCATAAACACAAAATTTAAAAGGTTCAGAGGTTTGCACCTAGATTAGTATCAGAATTGAAAAGCCTCAACAATGAAGACAAGTTGAAAGAACTCGCTCTCACAACCTTAGAGGAGAGTAGAAACGGGGGGATATGATAACTTCAAACAAAATTTTGAGCAGAATAATTAAAGTGGATAAAGGAAGCCTATTTAAATTAGAAAGTGGTTGGGCGAGGGGACATTGGTGGAAGCTGGACTTGTAGTTGAGTTGAAGAGATGCGAGAAAGTTCTCATTCATGTACATGTGGTCGGCAAGTGTGATGCTCTGAAGGAAGTTGTTGTGGAAGCCAAATCCATCCACAGCTTTAAAAGGAAATGTGATAAAAATGTTAATGTTGAGAGAGCTAATTAGCATGCCAGGTATAAACATCTAGGAGGTGGGACATGAGCTAGATAACACCCTTGTAGTCATTGATAGGTAAGCACATTACAGTAGCATGTACACATTACACCAGCCTATTCTCATTACATCATTATGTGCAAATAGCACCAGCAATTAAACAAGCCTGTATTCATTTCACAAATACGTGTGTTGCACCAGCTTATTCTCTCTCACCAGTTTGTTCTTTCTACATGTTTGAAAATCAACAACGGGTGAACACCAGCCTGTTCTCATTACCCCAGCATATGCACATAACATAAGCTGGTGCACATTAGATAAGTCTGTACTCATTACACCAGCCCGTATTCATTATAGCAGCCTGTAATCATTACACCAACCTTTACCCATTACATTCCTTAAGGTGGCATATTATGCGATTCTTAAATGTTGTTTAATGTCAACCAAACTTTTCTTTACTAGTTGTATGTAAGAAGGGCTGCAACTGTTCTACGTTTCAGTATCGCACCCTAAATAGAAAAGGAGGGATTTTATTTTTTTCCAACAAAATTTACACATTTTCAATAATTATCTACAACCACAAGTTTCAAATGAAATAATTTCTATGACACTCATCTATCATATTAGCATATAATAAAGTTTTTTTTTTGAAAAGGATTATCCAAAATATGTTTATAGTTTTACTAATGCAAGTAGTCAAAGGTCCCCAAAAATATATATGCCAATATTTCATGTTTGCAAATATTTATAAAATCAATAAATGAACTTAGGAATAAAGTGTTATACTATGTTTGTAGAGCTGTAAACTCTACATATAAGGTGTAAATTTCATGTAAATTGAAAAAAATGAAAGAGATCTAATTTTGTTCCTTGACAATAAATAAGATCAAAGATTCTGCCACCTGTGGTTGAAGTTGACTTCAACCAATTTCCTTCAAAATTTGCGTCCTTACAGATAGGCTTACGTTCTGTAAGGTGTATAAGTTTCATGCAAATCAACTGATAAAAAATATGAGAACAAAAATAAATTTATATTTTTTATTTTTTTTTCATAAAACTAAATATTAAAATACTTTATTATATGATATTGTGACAGCTTAGTCATAGACATGATTTCAATTGACACTTGCGTTTGATGTTAATTTTTGACCATTTTGGAAATTTTTTGACAATTCAATATTTTTTTCTCCCTTCCTATTTATGCTACAATGCTGAGACTTGGACCAGTTGAACCCAATTTTATATACAACTACTCAAAAAAGTTTGATTGAAATCGAACCAGTTCTTATTTATAGCATATTTTCGTAATATGCCTCCTTAAATTCATTTGGTATCCCCAGTAGGGATACCTCATGATTTTATCATGTTTATTTTTTGTATTTTCTTTCTTCCAACAGGTTTCCGTTCAACATCTCGAGAACACCTCATCATATAGACTTGAAACCGACAACACTTATGTACGATCACAAAATTAATGTTCTTTCTGAGCTAAGGCCCCCCTCAGTTGCTCCCCAAGTCAGAGCCTTATGGGTCACCCTGGACTCAATACGCATGTGTCAGACACTATTTGACCTATCACCCGTCATGGCAAAAGTCTTTTTCAAATGATCTTGTCAAGTTTTGAGGCACGGATATAGCGATAAAGTCTGTCTGGATCCAACACCAAGTGACCACTTGCAATAATACAAAGAATCAAAGCAATAAGCTGCAATAGACCATTGGAATTGTTAGGAAAATAAATTACTGTTCTGTTAGCTAACAGTAAATAGCTAGCCTCTACACCAGCCTCCAGTATTCCCACTGGTCATAACAGGAGTAGGCAAATCTGCATGTATTTTTTTTTTTCTTCCTTACCTTGGCTCTATTTGTGTAGATTCAGTTAAGATGTGACTAGTTGTTTCTTGATAGTTTTACCTATCTTGAGGTTAGGTTATTTTGAGATGATTTCGGGGCTTTTTAGTGTCCCCGCGGCCCGGTCCTTGACCAGGCCTCCACCCCCAGGAAGCAGCCTGTGACAGCTGATTAACACCCAGGTACCTATTTTACTGCTAGGTAACAGGGGCATAGGGTGAAAGAAACTCTGCCCATTGTTTCTCGCCGGCGCCTGGGATCGAACCCAGGACCACAGGATCACAAGTCCAGCGTGCTGTCCGCTCGGCCGACCGGTTCCCCCCCCCTGCTCAAGGGTGCCACATTTTTGTGTCCACTGCACAGCTAGGTGACTCTAGTTGTTGGTGTACCTCACGTTATTGCTATCACTTCAGCATTGTTTCAGGGTTGTCTTCTTTGGCACTGATTGTCAAACACTGTCAATTTTCAAGGTTATTTTCCCTGGTTGTGATTGGGAGTATTGGTGTGGCTCACTGTTCATAAGAGTGGAATCGCTTTCTCCAGTTTGTTTCGTTGATTGGGGGGGGGGGTGATGCGAGTATAGTGAATATTAAAAACTATTAAACATGAAAATAAAGAAAACTGCAGAGGGATTATTGACCTATTTGGGCAGCTTCTGTTTATATCTACAGAAACTCATTTATATATATATATATATATATATATATATATATATATATATATATATATATATATATATATATATATATATATATATATATATATATATATATATATATATATATATATATATATATATATATATATATATATATATATATATATATATATATATATATATATATGTGACGGTAACGCGTTGGTGTTCGGCTGTTTAAGGCTAGGGGTATGGCCTCGTCACATAGTTATAAAAAAAAATAGAAAAACTGGAACTTCGTCTGTGGTAAGGTAAGGAGAAGACACACAAAACACAAGTAAAACTTTAACAATGAAATTTTAATTACGTTAAATAAATCAAAACATGAATAAAATGCACAAACAAATTCTTATAATAAAATCAATCAAAATAATAAGAATAATTAAATGACACAATGAAAAGTTACGTTAAGGCAAAATAACAAGAAGTGCAATAAAAGTTAAGTGGGAGGTGCTGGAATATTGGCTTAAAGCCACCACCTCTCTCAGTACACGCTAACGTCTAGCTGGGAGGAGTGCTGGCCACGAAAGCACTGAACATTCTGAGGACTGATGTTGGGGCGACCCCAGACATCAGGTAGTATGGGGGGCCGAGTGCAGGTGCAGCCAGACCGGCGACCAATCAGCGGAGCCGTAGCGATCAACGGGTAGTTTGGTGGTTGGAGTTCGAACAGGTGGCTGGCTGCATACGTTTTGCTCACCCTGGCAAGCCTTGCTGGTGTTGTTGTCGTTGTTGGACATTTCTTCCATAGTCTTTTATATAATTGTGAAGACGTAATTATGGAGGGAAGAGCAGGCTCAATCTCTTGAAGGAGATTATCGTCACAACTCTCCCCCGAAGCCTGCGGTTCTGGAAGAAGTACGTCGTTATGTGGTGGAGTAATGGATGGAGTTGCTTCTACTTCATAAACTCTGGAGAGATCATGGGCTAAGATGTTGTCAGACTCTTGGTATAGCGTGTCTCCAGGTTGAATTTCTGCAGGTAGCAAGCCCATAGTAGAAGACGTTGAGATGAGAAGTGGGCGTGCTGCAGGAGGTGTAGGGTGGTGTGGTCCGTATTGATGGTGGACCGAGCACTTTTCAGGTGTGGAGTGAAGTGCTGAAGCTTCAGGATGAGGAAGAGAAGCTCCTTGCCAATTGTTCCGTAGATCCTTGTAGCAGTAGTCGCTGACAGGTGTATTCTTCTCGCCTCGTTGTTGCATCACGACACCACCAACGTCGGTACCCCTAGCGTCGACATGGAGGATGAAGGGTTTATCTGACGAGGTGAGAGTGGAATTAGAAGAGGGCAAAGGAGCACGATTATTATCCTGAAAGCATTTGGGAAGATCATTAAGGATTTCGGAATTAGAAAGCGCCGACTCCTTGTCAGTGCTTTCGGGAGAAGAAGCCGGGATGGTCTCACTGTGGATGTAGGGTTCTGTGAAGGTAGAACAATTAATCAAGACAGTGGGAGGAGTACCATTATATTGCTTCAGGAGGTTGACGTGGCACAGCTGGGTCTTCCGCCGCCTATCTGGAGTCTCTATGACGTATGTGTTGTTGTTTCTGCACTCTTTGACGCAGTAGGGTCCTGAAAATTTGTTTTGTAAAGGTGAACCTGGGATAGGAAAATAGGCAAGGACGAAGTCTCCCGGCTTGAATTTTCTTACTTTGCTGGTCTGGTCGTAATGAGTCTTCATTCTCACCTGGGCTTTCAATAGATTATCATGGGCAAAGCGGTGGACTCTCTCTAGAATGTGCTGAAGGTTTTGAAGAAACTGGGGCACATTCTGATGCTCACTGAAGGTGGCATCTCTGAGAGAGTCTTTGAAAGCCTTAAGGGGAGTACGGCACTTACGGCCGTAGAGCATCTCATAAGGAGATACTCCTAGGGACTCATTGGGGAGACTTCTGAAAATACACATTATAAGGTCAATCTGCTTATCCCAATCCTTCGAGGTTTCACTACAAAACTTTTTCAAGAGTGCTTTGATGGTCTGATGACTACGTTCAAGAGAACCCTGTGAAGCAGGATGATAGGGGCTGGACAATACCTGTTTGATGTTGAACTCCTCCAGTGTCCTTTTGAAGAGATCACTGGTGAAGTTGGTGCCACAGTCACTTTGAATCTCCCTGGGAAATCCGTATTGAGTGAAGATCTTCAATAGATGTTTTATAACCGTAGCAGCCGTGATATTCTTCACTGGAACTGCTATGGGAAATCTGGTGGTAGGACACAGGATGGTTAGGATGTAGGCGTTACCTGAACTGGTCCGAGGTAAAGGACCAACACAGTCTATTATGAGTCTGTGGAAAGGTTCCGCAGGCACCTGTATGGGAATCAGTGGTGCTCTGGGAATGGAGACGTTCGGTTTGCCTGCCATCTGACATGTATGACACTGTTTTACGTACTGTTTGACGTTATTTACCATACCTGGCCAGTAGTAGTCTTGGCGAATCCCATGGTAAGTCTTGTTGAAGCCGTAGTGGGAGAATGCTCCGTGGGCCAGGTGTAGAATAGTGGGCCGCAGGCTGGTGGGAATCACAAGTTGTTCGATGTTGGCCCAATCGTCCTCCTCCTTCAGTTTACTGGGTCTATATCTGCGGTAGAGCAAGTCGTTCTCTAGGAAGAACCCAGGAATACTGTCGGGTTGAGTCTCAGCCTGGAAAAACAATGGTGTTAAAGTAAGATCTTCCCTCTGCAACTTACGGAACTCCAACTTGGTCAGATGCGGGGGTAGTTTCTGAGGGTCTTGAGGGACAGCGGTAGCAGTAGAGTCAGCTGGCTGTGGACGTGCGGCTTGTGCACGGGTGGTCACGAGAACCGGAGGAGAAACTTCATCACTCTCTTGAACCTCTGCTGGAACATACTCAAGAATAGGATTTATTGGCACAGAGTTACACACCTGGGGTTTGTCCATGACGATCAGGTTGGTCGGTTGCAGGTCTTCTGCCAAGTCGTTGCCTAGGAGAAGTTGCACTCCAGGCATGGGAAAAGGCTTTTCCCTGACGGCGACTTGGACTTCCCCGTTCACGTAGGGACAATCCAGGTGGACTCTGGCGAGAGGGTATGGAGTGGTAGCAGTGAGGTCAGTGATGAAGACTGTTTCCCCGGTGTAGACTATGTTGGGCACAGCCGACTTCAAGATGATCGATTGTAGAGCCGCTGTGTCCCTCAAGATCTTCAATTTGAAACGTCCCTCCGGATTTGAACCGTTGGCAGAGACAGTTCCAGTATACAGGTGGTTACTGAAAAGAGAAAGATCATTAACATCAACACCAACATTCATCACAGGCTTACCGGACTTAGGAGGAGTTGGTTTGGGTCGTTGTTGGTCAGTGGTTCCCTTGTATTGAGACTTACCACACTTGTCTATGGTATGTCCATAGAGTCTACAATACTTGCAGTACAGTTGTGAACCAGCTTGATCGGGGCTCACCTTCTCGTAACTGTACCACGACTTCTTACTGGAGGATGGTTCAGGTGTCAGCCGGTGGATGAGGCTGTAAGTGTCAGCCGACTTAGCACACTTCAGGTAGTCGGTTTCTTCTTTATCTGCTAAGTAGAGGCGGACAGGAGGCGGCACACGTCTCAAGAATTCTTCAACAAGCATCAGGTTGACGAGTTCTGTAAAAGTAGAGACATGTGCTGCTTCCAGCCATTTCATGAAATACCTCCGTTTCGTGTTAGCAAACTCGAGGAAGGTAGTGGTACTTGCCTTCAGGTGGTCACGGAATTTCCTTCTATAACTTTCAGTAGAGAGGAGGTAGGCGTCCAACACTGCTTGTTTCAGAGTGTAGTAGTCATTCTCAGACGCCAAAGTACTGAGTGTGACTGCAGCTCTACCTGTAAGATGGACTCTGAGAAGTGTGGCCCATTGGTCGACAGGCCAACTGAGTTGATTAGCAAGGGTTTCAAAGGTGGTGA